AGGAGCCCAACGTGGGGGCTCCATCCCAGGACCCTGGGATCATGACCTGAGCCCAAGGCAGACACTTAACGACTGAGCCACCCAGGCGCCCTTTCGTCCATTCATTTATCAACAATTATTGAGTCAGGCCGTTAGGACTCCTGAGGTATAGCAATTAACAAAACAAAGTCCCCCACTCATAGAGTTTACATTATAGGGCTCTGCGGCCATGGATATTTAAATTTAATTAAAATTAAATAGAAGTACATACTCAGTTCCATTGCCACACTAGCCACATTTCAGGTACTCAATAGCCACTTGTGGCCTAGAGGCTACTGTATTAGAGCTGATACAGAACATTTCCATTATCAAAGTAATGCTCTTTTGAACAGTTCTGCTCTAAAGGAAAGAAATTTGCCTTGTAACTTGACTAAAGTAATGATTTGTTAGCAGAGTATGAAAAGTCTGGGTAAAAGGAACAAGAGAATTCATTAACAGATCTCAGAATGAAGGGATTCAGACCATGTACCAGAAATAGTCCAGCTGGACTGGTTCATTCCTAAATCACCTTCTGTCACCATCATAAACCACATTCTAACCTCCCTGCCCAATTCCCTCTTTAAGTACATTTTCTGCAACTTGACTGTCTACACTATACGTAACCAATTAGGAATTCCTCATTCTACATTAATGATATTGTTTTGCAAATCAATCTCATATATAGGAGTTTGGTAAATACTAATCAATTTCCCTGAACCTGACCCCCAGTGAGTGAAGGTGAAAAACGTCCAAGCTGAGAACCAGACCTTTTGCACTGTGAGTACAGCAAGGACTACTAGCTGCCTACATTCTTAAGAACAAAATCCTGATTTTTAGGGTGGCAGTCAACCAGTGTCCATGAGCTGGAAGACTAGTTTGCAGCCTTCACTGCAACTGGATGGATCCATGTAATTGTTCAGTGGGATTGTAGCCAGGGCACTGGGGTACAAGAGCACCTGGCCCTGGGGGTTCCAAACAGTCCAGGTTCGGCCATTCGCCACTGATAAAATCCGGAGGCAGAGAGATGAGTGGTGGTGAAAACAAGAAAGTTTATTTCAGTGACGCAGACGCTGGGAAGACAGAGGACTACGGTCTCAAAGACGGTCTCCAAAGCGCTGAAAATACTTGCAGGTATATATAAGGAAAATGTGGGCCAAAGGTGGGTGGGTAAGTGCAGGTGGGCAGTGAAGGTCAAATCCATCCTCTTGGAGTCAATCAAGGGTGGTGTCTTGCTAACTCAGGGCAGTCCTTATTGCTTGAGGGGGTAGTTTTGATTCTTATCAGGGGATGCTTAGCCTTCAGGCTCTTCCACCTGAGTGGAGACAAACTGGGAAGACGAACCCAACTAGAAAAGTTTGAGGTCAAAATGGAGGCCGACTAAGTCCTCTTTTAGGACTTCTAGAATTGCTCCCTAGGAGGGAAACACACGCTAGAATGTACCTCTTTTGTCCTTCCCCTTTTCTTGCAGCCTGCAACGTGGATGTGATGGTTGGAGTTCCAGCCTCTACTGCAGACCATATAGGTGGTGAAGAAAGGAAAATCCTAGGCCCCTGATGCCCATGAAGCTACCACATAAGTCTGGACTGCATATCCCTGAGTTTTATTTATATGAGAGAATGAATAAACCCGTTTAAGCTATTGTAGTCAATCCCAAAGTGATAAAAGGGGGAACTCTTCTGAGGTGCTTTTCTCATGTGAGGGCCTGTGTGCAGAGGCCAGAAGACATTGTCTTTTAGACCTCTTTAATTGCAAGAGATACCAAGTCATATTCAGCTGTAAAATTTAGGACAATCTCAGATTTTGTTAGAAAACACTGAATAAGTAAGAAATAAAATGTTATAAAAAAATTTCAGCAGCGCCTGGGTGACTCAGTCAGTTAAGCATCCGACTTTTGATCTCAGCTCAGGTCTTAATCTCAGGGTTATGAGTTCAAGCCCCACACTGGGTTCCACCCTGGGCATGAAGCCTACTTAAAAAAAAAAAAATTTCAAATGATGCCAAAGTAAGAGCTAATTAGCTGAAGACCAAATCCTTTCGATTTTGTCAGTGGCTTGCAATTAGTAACTTTCCCTATTTGCATTGCTGGTGTTCTAAGTAGGTATTTTCAAGATACAGCACAAATTTTAAAAAAAATATTCATTCATTCATTCATTCATTCAGTGAGTGAGTGAGTAAAGTGATAGAAATTTATTAAGTGAAGATACAGAAAAAGCTCTCAAGAGTGAGAGGGTCCTGACAGGGTTGCTCCAGCACAAATTTTTTATTTATTTTTATTTTTTTAAAAACATTTTATTTATTTATTTATTCATTTGAGAGAGCGAGAATGAGAGAGAGAGAGAGAGAGAGAGCACACATGAGAAGGGGGAGGGTCAGAGGGAGAAGCAGACTCCCTGCTCAGCAGGGACTCCGATGCAGGACTCGATCCCGGGACTCCAGGATCATGACCTGAGCCGAAGGCAGTCGCTTAACCAACTAAGCCACCCAGGCTCCCCTATTTTATTTTTTTTTTAAAGATTTTTATTTAATTGACTAAGACAGAAAGCACAAGCAGGGGGAAACAGTAGAGGGAGCGAGAAAAGCAGACTCCCCTCTGAGCAAGGAGCCCATGATCTCAGGACCCTGGGATCATGACCTGAGCTGAAGGCAGATGCCTAACCAACTGAGCCACCCCTCCGCCCCCCCCCCCCACAAATTTTTTAGATGACAGGGTGGAGCTTACAAAATATCCTGAAGTTCAAATCAGATTTTCCTAAGATTTTCTTTTCTGGATTTCTAGTTTCTGATTTACCATGAGCTATTAAACATGAACCTGAGATAGAAATCTCTTGACGCAACTCAAATTCTTTCAGTGAACAATTAGTGTCGTGATTAAACAGAAGAACGTCTTTAATACAACACATATCCACTAAATCCCTAAATATTTCCAAATAACGTAATTAGAGGATTAATGGAATAGTTTCAGGAATGTTTTGCAAAGTAATAAAATGTGGGGGAAAAAAAGTAGTAAGATTTGGAAAGAATTATGCATCCAAATTCAACCAATATTTATTAACAACCTACTGAGGACACCAGACATTTTTTCATTGCCTTATTTAATATCCCCCAAACCTTTTAACTCACAAAAATTCCGTTTTATGCTTAGGCTTAGGGAGCCTGGCTTTCCCAAGGTTAAAGGACCAGTAACAGACAAAGCCAAGATTCAACCTAGGGTCCTTTGACTCTTAACTTCAGTACTGTTTTTCACTATGGCTTTTATAAAACTTGAAAAAGTTTTTAATTGAACATAAAACAAGAGAAGAGTGGAGAGAGCAGTTTAGGGATATATCAGCAAATGGAAATATTTCTAAAAAATTTGAAAATGTTGGGGCGCCTGGGTGGCTCAGTTGTTAAGCGTCTGCCTTTGGCTCAGGTCATGATCCCAGGGTCCTGGGATCGAGCCCCGCATCGGGCTCCCTGCTCAGCAGGAAGCCTGCTTCTCTCTCTCCCACTGCCCCTGCTTGTGCTCCCTCTCTCGCTGTGTCTCTCTCTGTCAAATAAATAAAATCTTAAAAAAAAAAAAAAAATTGAAAATGTTAAAGCTAAGGAAAATAATTGAAGATCTTCCTGGGATAACCTGTTCCACTCATATATCCCAGAAATAATAAAGAGGTTTGAGAGATCCTTCACAGACATTCTGTCAGAAGATGTCCATTTGTTTTGAAATTCCCTTCATGCCATTTTTTAGCTTCCTCCCAGCTACCGGGGGTCCTCTAGGGTGTCCGGTGCAGCCCGGGACGACATCTTTTTGGGAGCGTACTATTTCCTGGCTCTTTTCCATTCTGACTTCTCCATCATCTCAATTCAGTTTTGTGCTCGGCTCTTTCCCAAGTTGCTTTCTCTTACTGTGCAGAATGCTTCGTTATTAGATTTAGAAAAAAAACAAAAATGTTACATGTATTGTAATTGCCTGATTGTTAAGAACAAAAATTTATGTGAGGATAGGACTGGTTTTAACTTGTTCACGATTGGGAGATCCGTGCAAAACCCGGTGCTAGGGATCCCGCAGAGCATAAAAATATTTGTTGAATGTAACAAGCTCTCCGGTTTCACACAAAAAGGGAAACTGTTTCCTTGAGTGTTTGTTTTGGACCTAATAACTGGGTCTAAAGCCCACATAACATTTAGGCAGGTAGGAAGCTCCCGATTTTTAACTCTCTAGCACTTAGGACATAATTTCATTGTCATCTTAAAGTGACACTATATCCCTTTTTTCAAACAGAGGACATAATTGAAGACCAAGTGCAAAACAGAAGGGAAAGTTCTTCAGCTGTTTGCCTGAGGAATCCGCAAGCTTTCAAATACGGAACTCCAACTGGGAGATGGGAAAGCTGTGCGAACTCCAGAGACACCTTACGTCCTCCCCAAGACCTTGCGCCCCCCACGACTAACCCCAGAGGGCAGCGGCGACCTGTAGCCCCGTCCTCGGACTCAGCTCTGCCCCACGAAAGCGTCCGAAAGCTACAGCTGGGGTAGCGCCTGGGCCAAACGCTAAAAAGTCCTCCGACGCCTCCCGAGAACCCAGAGCGAGGCCAAAAGCCCAGTACCCTACCCTCATCCTTTGTGGACAGCCTCGCGGTCCCCCCAGGCCCCGACCCTCCGTAAACGCGAAGTTGACATTTTTGTTCCCAGAAATGGGTGGTAGCTGCGCGGCGCGAGGCGTACGGCGGAAGCTTGAAGAGATTTCATCTAAGCCCCAGCCAGGCCCAGCACCTCCCGGGGCAGCCCGGCAGGGTAGGGAGGGGGCAGGAAGCCTGCCCCGCTTCCCCCACTCTCCGCACTAGAGGCCCGGGAACCCCTTCCTCCCCCTCTCCACCTACCACCCCGTCGCGAGCACCGCGCAACGCGGCATCGTGTCCCCGAGCCAAGTCCCCGGATGCTCACCTCCCCTCACCGGCCCGCGCCGTGGCTCCACCCCTCGCGCGGCTTTGCGTGCCACGTCACCGCTTTCGGCGCTTCCGGAGGCGCAGCGGGCGATGACGTAGGGGGACGTGCCCTCTATATGAGGTTGGGGAGCGGCTGAGTCGGCCTTTTCCGCCCGCTCCCCCCTCCCCCCGAGTGCCGCTCCGGCTGCACCGCGCTCGCTCAGAGCTCCCGGCTTCTGCCAAGGTAGTGCCGCCGTCGTCTCTCTCCAGCCGTCGTCATGATCATCTACCGGGACCTCATCAGCCGTGAGTCGTGACTGCACTACCACTACTGCCGCGCGCAGGGGACAGGGGTGCGGGTGGGGGCGGGGAGGAAGGACGCCGCCGCTGTCGTGGGCCTAGGGGACGCTGGCGGCCTTTCCGGGAGCGAGGAAGGGTCGGTGCCTGGGGCACGCCTCGGGGTCTCGAGCGCCCGGGGAGGAGCGGGGGCCGCGTGCGCCTGGCCCGCGCGGGAAATGGCGGCGCCGGTTCCAGACCTTCGGGCGCGCCGTGACGGGCGGGTCTGTGTCCCCGGGCAGATGATGAGATGTTCTCCGACATCTACAAGATCCGGGAGATCGCGGACGGGCTGTGCCTGGAGGTGGAGGGGAAGGTGAGTCGGTCGGGCCGCGCGGCGCGGGGGAGGCAAGGCCGGGCAGGCTCGGGTTTCCGCCGCTCCCCCGCCCAAAGTTGTGCAATCCTCTCCGCTGCCTCCTGGCGGAGGAGACGCTCTTTCCGGGCTCGGGTTTTTCTAGAAAAGTGGAGGCGGAGCTGAGCCTGGAAATAGGTCCGCCGCCTTGGCGCCCATCCTCCTCCCGGGCCATCCGGGACAGGTAGGCTCCGGTTAGGGAGCCCCAAGCCCTTCAACGTTTGCTCTACATGTACTTGCTTATCATCCCAAAAGCCCACATAGAACCTTTACTTGGATGTAAATGACCCCGTTTTCTTCCGGTCAACAAAGAATTCTTAACTGAGTTAACGATGTTTCAGGAATTGCAGGCGGCTTGAGTTTTTTCTCCATAACAATGTTTTAGTGGTTTTGGCAAGAGTCAAAAGTGTTTGGTGGGAGGATGATGGCTATGTGAACTGCTGACACAAGATTTGGGGGATTCCTTTAGCTAAGGTCAAAAACGTCTGAAACCGAACTATTTTCTTTCTTAATGCAGATGGTCAGTAGGACAGAGGGTAACATTGATGACTCGCTCATTGGTGGAAATGCCTCCGCTGAAGGCCCAGAGGGCGAAGGTACCGAAAGCACAGTAATCACTGGTGTTGATATTGTCATGAACCATCACTTGCAGGAAACCAGCTTCACAAAAGAAGCCTACAAGAAGTACATCAAAGATTACATGAAATCGTAAGTGTTGCTGGCGCCGCCCACCTACTGCCCCCAATCCTGTGGGATTCGGGGATAAGCTGCCTTGGAGGGTCTTTAGCAGCAGGCTTACTTGTGAAAGGCCTTAACCTTTTCTGTTGTGAGCTCACAAGGACAGGTGCTTTTCCATAAATTAACGTGAACATACTGGAGCATGCAGTGTGGTTTTAGCTTTTTAGAAGTGTACTTCGGGAATAACATGAAATCCAAAATTTGAACAGTCTTGAAACTTTGATCCTGTGAGCTAGTAGTTTCTTGATTGTGCCATGTTAATCTGGCCCAGTGACAGCTAGTTGCCCTTTTCAGTGCTTGCTTGTTTTCCTTTGGATTTTTTTTACTGAAAAAATTCGTTTTGCTGAGAACTGAGTACTTTAACCTATTAATAAAATACTGTTTTAGAATCAAAGGGAAACTTGAAGAACAGAGGCCAGAAAGAGTAAAGCCTTTTATGACAGGGGCTGCAGAACAAATCAAGCACATCCTTGCTAATTTCAAAAACTACCAGGTAAATACTGTAAATGTTTGTGTCAAAGATGTGTGCAATTTAGCTGCCAGAGCAACAAATTACTTGATGAATCATTGGTGTAACCTGGCTGTCTCCTGGGTCTTTTGAGCAGTTTAAATACTTCATAGATTCAATTCCAGTAGCCTAGGCTGTGGAAAGTAGCCTTCCCTGCTCCTAAGTTTGTTTCTAGATCTTGTCTGCTTGATTCCAGAATCTCATCCCTACTCACTTCCCAGAGGACATTTTTCATTTCTCCCTGTCTAGAATTGCTTGTTAATATCCTAAGTGGTCTTCCAATCTTCTTTTTATTTCCAACTCCAGTGTCTCATTGCCACTGGAGTTCTTTCTACACTTGTTCTGTTGGGGAAACTCAGTGACTTTCCCTTACCTCTACAGGAATAAAGAAAAAACTCATTACAGCCTGGCTCTTTGATTTTCCAACTTTCACATGTCCTCTGGCCATAAAGATAACTTTATCCATATGATGTTCTGTCTTCGTTGTATGTTCCCTATGCTTGATGATGTAAATAGGCTTTTACAGAGTTTGGAATTGTATATGTGGGGTTGAGAGAGTGTGTTTCCAGAAAGTCTAAAGTGTTCTGGATTGCTCTGTACTTACTTTGGTCAATTGTTAGTGTTCTCATTCGGTGAACAGAAGTTTGGTTAGAATTTTTTTTTCTCCTGGTGAAAATCTCTTAAATTGTGGTGTTTTGAATCCTCCTTTGATTGTTTTATTGTAGTTTGTTTTGATACGATCTGTATATAACAGTCTAATTCTGGGTATTTGTTTGCTTCCTAAGTTCTTTATTGGTGAAAACATGAATCCAGATGGCATGGTTGCTCTGCTGGACTACCGTGAGGATGGTGTGACCCCATATATGATTTTCTTTAAGGATGGTTTAGAAATGGAGAAATGTGTAAGTATAAGGAAGTGGGTTGAAATCCGTAATGTAAAAATGGAGACCTCTTTGGTGTGATTCCTTGTTTCCTGCCCCTGGGATAGTTAGAATGGGTTTTACAGCAGTCTTTGTAAAATGTAGGTCTAGTTCTTGTTTCTTTTTGGGAGTCTAATAGAGTTGTGTTTCACATGTAAAAGATTTTTATGGGACAGAAAGGGACTTAGAATTTTTATATACAGAAAGTTTTTCTTGTAGGTGGCTTAAATCACTAAGCTGGAGATGAGAAACAACACCCTGTGTTGATCTTCCCCCCCCTAGAAATGGTCCTTCTCTTCATATTTTGCCAAGCATACGTGAATGGCTTGTATGGCATGTGAAACCTTTCTCACTTCGGTTTACTGATAATTGACAACTGGTCATTGAAAGCCTTGATGTTACTAGCTTTTAGTAAATAAAGTTAGAGGTGGCTGCTTACCCAATATGCAGAATTCTTCAGTAAAATTAAATGAATGTCTACAATGCAAGGAATTTCTGGAGGCAGTACAGGAATGAAAGCATTCATTATCCCAGCTTTCAGAGGCTTCCATGTAAATTAGGAGTAAGATCAAGTTAAGGCTACACTAAATAAGATTAGAGGCAACAGTGGACAAAAATGTCTTAGGATGGTACAGATGATTTGCTAAGGGGATTATTCCAGGAATATCTGTGGTTTTTGTTAGTAGAACAAAAGTATATGTAGTATGAGTGGGGCTTGCTTCAGAATGAGATTTCTAGAAAATGTGCTACCCCCGCTTTGGTAAGGATGTTTGTGCATCCACTGATAGACCTTGAACAATTGGCTGTTGTTCTTTTGGTTTGCACTAGGATGCAAGAGAAGAAAATCCCTGCGCTTTCTGTCTGTCTTTGTGGCAGCCCAGATTGAATAGGGGAATACATCTGCAGCATAGAAATGTTAAATATTTTCATACCGGGTAAAAGTGTTAATACAGTCTCTCGTTTTTACAGTAACGAATTCGGCCATGACTTTGGTTGTGTCACCTATTGCCGTAACGGGCTGCTCCTCTTCATCCACACGACACCAGGACTTAGACAGATGGGACTGATGGCATCTTGAGCTCTTCATTTGTTTTGACCCTGATTTATTTGGAGCGGAGGCATTGTTTTTAAGAAAAAAAAACATGTCATGTAGGTTGTCTAAAAATAAAATGCATTTAAACTCATTTGAGAGAATGCCTCTTAGTTTAACACATATTTAAATCCATCTGGTGTAGTGTCCTGGAGAAGCTAGAGCCTGGTCATAGACAACTGCTAGAAAGCATAAGACTGCCTGCAGATAACTTCTACCGTGAAAAACTACTTCTGGGACTGGAATATAAAAAACAAGAATCCAAAAGTCGTAATTCTGAGTTCAAGTAAAGGGAAAGACCATGCTCATAGCTGGGCCAACATTTGAAGTGGATTCCTTACACATTTCATCACCTACCAACGGAAGTAGTTAACTCTGGAGGAGATTACCAAAAGAATGAAAAGAGACTAATGACAGTTGGAAGCAAAGTATCGTGTGATCTTATTTGTCATAAGTCAAGTAGAGCCAAGTTCTAGAGAAACCTAGATGTCTCCTGGAATGCTTGTGTCAAACACCCTGGAATGGCTTGTCCTGCCACCTATTTTTGTGACTTCAAGGTGGTGGTTACATTTTTGAATGGTTGGGAGAAAATAGGTTGTGGGATGTGAAAAATATGAAATCTAAATTCGTGTCCAGTTTTATTGAGCCCTGCCATGCTCATGTTTTTATGTATTGACTGGCTCTTCACTGTTAAGAGCAGAGTGTGACAGAGACCTTAAGGCCTACAAATCCTAGAACAGCTATGTGGCCCCTCACAAGACAGGTTTGCCTGCCTCTGCTTCCAAAGATGAAGTTCTAGATGGAGTGTGGGCCGAGGAAAATGCTGCTGTTGTGTCCTGTCGTGTCTGAAAGGGCTGTGGGTGTCAGGAGAATAAGAAAAATGCATCCGTTTGACAGACCTGGAGCAGTTCCTGTCTGCTGCTAAGGTTTCCACTAGAGATGCAAGAAAAAAGTGTCCTCGCGCTTTCTGTCTGTCTCATTATGGCAGTCAAGATTGAATGGGGGAGTACACGGAAAAACCAGAAGAATTTCTGCAACTCAGAAGTAACCTTGTCAACAATGAAATCTTGTTTTACTCCAAAGTATCTGAAATTTGAGTTAATGAGAAGTGTTGCAAAAGGATTTCCCAGACCCTTGCCTTCTGATTAATTCCACTTTTAAAAGCTTAAGGGTTAAAACTAAATAGAAGACAAGCCAGTGAGTCATCTGGTCCTATGACAAGTGAACCCAGGGCGAATCCAGTGATTTGGGAATTTGCCCTAGAGATTTCAGAGTTAATGCTGTGATTCAGAACCTGAGACACTCAAGGTTGATAGTGCCCCCTGGTGATGAGTGGAAGTAAATCCAAATACTGGAAACTAGTCAAGCTGGTGGCAATTTTAAGCATTCTGATCTGACGTTAAAATCGAAAAAGTGCCAGTTGCTGGTCTGGGAGGCCACTTGGCCCTCTGAAACATTAGTGGGGAAAGAATTTTGGGGCAGCGGTCAGTACTATGAACGTGACCACCTGATTGTGTGTAAAGTCTTGTACCATCTAACCTGAAACCTGATTGAGCAAGCCGTGGAAAAGACTAGAAGAATAGGAGGTGCAGAGGCTTTGTAGGAAGTGAGTCCAGATCAGTCCAGCCTAGGAATGCTTATTTTCAGTCTTTCTGGTTACTCCCAGTTAAGAGTCTAGTTAAGATATTCTGTGCAAGAGTAACCGGTGATTTGTACTTTGTGGGCATGTCATTTTATGTACTTAATTGGTGTTAAACTTGATAAAGTCTTGTTCCTAGTGCCCTTTAAGCCCTAGGCTTTGTTACACGTTTGGACAAAAATTGTAAAAGGACTCTGATGGTGTCTGGGAAGGCCTTTGTAATGTGATTTGAATAGGAAAGCAAATAGGCTATGTGATATCTGGGGGCAGAACAGTCCAGGCAAAGAATAGCAAATACAGAGTCTGAAGTGGAGTGTGTTGACATGTTCTAGAGACAAGGTGGCCGGTTTGCTGGACCCACGATGACAAGAGAAAGGGTTAAGGCATAGAAGAGTATCCAGGAAAAGAGAAAACCAAGTCACTCAGGAAGTCCATAGGGTTTTGAGCAGAAGGGTGACATGATCTGACCTAATGAACTGTACCCACTTGAGTATTTTACTTGGAAGGAGAGGTCTAAAGATTTAAAGAACTACTGGGAAAATCTCAGTGCATGACATTTGAAGCCAAAACAGTGGGTGAAATCACCTAGAAAGGATAGACTCAGCCCTCTGACTTGGAGCTTGAGATGGTCAGCATGATGACCTGGCAAAGTGATTCAGAGGAACTGTCCCTGAGATAGGAAAATCCTAGGAGTGGTCTGGAAGTCAAATGGACAGTGTTTCAGGATTAGTCTAGATGAGGACCAAGTAGGCGAACTTGACAAGTGTGTGAATAGTAGGGGAAGAAAGCAAGACTATAGTATATAACGTGTGTTAATATGCTGTCTGTAAGGCTTCTGGTCAACAGTAGGCTATTAAAGTGGGGAGTGGAAAGTTATGTGCAGAGTTCTTACTGTGGGGAGTTTGCAGATAAAGTTAAGAATCATAATGATGGTAGTTTATATTTATCCCACTGAAGTCCTCCAAATCCATCCCTTAGTGCAGCAATGGTATGTCTGATTATAATGCTTGGCAGTCCAAAGCAGGTTTTTTTACTATTGGGGCATGTTTTTAACTACTGGAACATTCTAACATACTTTCTGAGAGCTTGTAGATTATGGATTTGTACTATTACACATGGTTTCCTATTACAGCCTGGAAATGGGCATACAGGATTTCTCCGTACACTGGGCTATGCGAACCTCAAGTGGATGTTTTAACAGGAGTCATACAATTCAGTAGAAAAATGTCAACCATGAGCCTAAGGGAAAATTCTTTCCAAAGTAATTACTTGTTCAATGAGGTTCCCTTCAATTACGCCTCCTCCACCCCCTCCAGGATATACTTGACATCTCCCTTTGTTCATATATACATAGTACTGAGCTAGTGGTAAAGCACAAAGCATGGAGATGGGGCAATACCTTACGGAGTGCTTTTGCATGAATGCATCACAGTTTGAGGTGAAAAATGAGAATTCAGACATCAGGTGACTGACTAGAGGGGTCCTCTGGGGGGAGGACACAGACCACAAGTATTGTAGAACTACTAGACATTCGGTCCTGAGTTTCTAACAGTTTGATGCTGGAAATCTAGTCTTGTACTTGGTGATTTTCTTCGTATGTAAAGACAGCAGATAAGTTCTAGTTTATTCTCAAACGCTACTTGCACATGACCTCACCTAGAGCATAGGAAAATAAAATCACTCTACCCAGAGTGGTGGAGAGCTGGTAAATCACAGAGAACGTTAGTACTTTAAGGACAAGTATTCAAAACAGCTATACATGTAATTTCCATTTTCTTAGGTACATTAACTTAGAAGTCTCCCTCAAGAACTGCCAATTTGTCCTGTAAATCAAATAGCCAAACTAATAGTCAACCTTGGGGGTGGGGGATTGGCAAGTGAAACGAGGAAGATTACTACACAAGAAATTTAAAACGTGAACACCTCTTTTGACTACCTTGAGGTGGAATAATGCGTATCAACAAATGGCAAGTATAAAATCAGAAGCTAAGGATACTCCCCTTGGTGGTCTGCAGTCAGTGTTTCTCCCCATCACTTTCCTAGCATTCCACTCTTCCGAAGTGTACTCTGACAAATCAACGTGATGGCAATCCACATTGATGGATTTTGTCAAGTGGAGTATGGGCAGGGTGTCCCTACCCTTGGTGACTGCCATCAACCGGCAGGATGGTAAATGCCACCTGCTGGCATCTATTAAAATCAAAAGTGACTAAGCTTTTGAAAACTGGTTAAGTAATGTGTAAACTGTTCCACTCTGTTCTACAGACAAAGGAGGAGGGCTGGGTGTGAATGTGAGAGCAGCTGATTTTAGCATCCCAAGAGCAACGTGAAGGCTTCCTTTTCTAAGGCATTTGCTAAACCCTCTAGTTTATGGGGTTGTGAGAGTTGTGCAAAACTCCCAACTACCATTTAGCTTCCCCTATCACTAGCCTGTGGTCATTTTGCGGACTATTTTCTAACCCCTGGGGTTGCCTGCATCTGAAGCCCCTTCCTACACCTGCATTTAACCTGGCAACCCTAACCATGCATGCTTCTGCTCCACAGCCTTTGCCCTGGCTGTTTTCTCAGCCCAGATGCTTTTCCCATGTAGCCACGTGGCTCGCTCTGACAACCAAGTCTGCTCAAAGGCCATCTGGTCAAAATCAGAGCGGCCTTTTCTGACCATGCCATTGAAACCTACACATCCCCCCACCCTCTTATTTGATTTTTTCCTCCATGGCACTTCTCACCATCTAACATACTATGATTTTACTTGCTTACTGTCTTATCATCTGTCTCCACGCAAGCTCCAAGAGGGCTCAGCTTTGAGGCTCAGTGCTGTATCCTGAATGTTCAGAATGGTGCCTGGCGCTCAGCACCGAGGTGTGTTGGTCACAGGATTAAAGGAATCGTGGGAGATCCTACACATGCTGCTGAGCTTGACCTGGATATGCTTCTTTTTAAAAAATATTTCATATCCTAGTCTAAACTGATACATTTAGTGATCACAGCGAGAATATCAGTCCCTTGCCCCACCTCATTCCTGCCAGGCTATTTTTACTCTCCCAAGACACATTCTGCATATTTGCTGTTTCTTTTTCTTTTTTAATCCTTATTTCTAAGTAACTTTCTTCAACTATTATTTCTTGTTTTTTTCAGTTTCAGAGTTTAAAAATTACCTTCTGACTTTCTCTATGGAAGATGAAGATTACACTTTCTTGGCGCTGGTAACTCCCATCTCTTCTCTCCCTTGAGCCCTGTCACTTCTCTTTCCGCATCCTCCCATACAGTTATTTCCCAATTTAAGTTAATTATGGTATGTCTGTGTATTTTTTCCAAATTGAGCCATATAGTACAATTTCTAATTTTTGTTTTATATTTTGCTGGAGTTAATTCATTCCCTACTGCTTAGTTTCCTAGGTACTCATCATTAATTCATCCCTTAAAATCTAGAAAATATAACAATTCTCCTAATT